ACTGAATGTTTGGTCAAATGTTGGGAATGTTGGGACCTGGTTTGTCAGGACCTGTGCTTCTCTTCACTGTTTCTAATTCTAACTCTCTTTTGACAGTATAAAGGGTTTAGATCAAATGACCCGATCATCACGTGGTTCTGGGATATAGTCTCACGTCTTAAAGAAGAAGAGAAGGCTTTGTTGTTAAAGTTTTCTACAGGATCCCCGTCTGTCCCTATAGGAGGATTCGCAAACTTACAGGTATATGCAGACACAGGGTTCCCATTTCACGTTTTAGTTTGTCAGTGTAACAAACACCGGCGCGTTTTAAACGGTGACACGTGTGGATATGTTAACTGACATTTATTATTTCATGTAGGGTCTCAGTGGACCGAACAAGTTCACTATCACACACCTCTTTGGCTCAAACAAGGTAGGTTGAGAATTTATTTATCGAGCATATTTTGCTGTCATAATTTTGCATCTTCACTGACTGAACTTGTTTTGCACATACAAAGATTTTTTTCCGGTTTGCACTGGAACCATTGAACTGGMCTTTTTTGAAAGACAGGGGACGTGGTTAATCGCGGTAATGGTGGTAAGTTTCCCCTCCACCCCACACCCCTGGAGGGCTTGTTTATTGAGTAGCAGGTTTGATACATACCGTTGKTAGATGAGTTACACATTTCTGATGATTAACATGCTGCTTAGCAAGCTTTTGCTGTAGTAATGCTCATCCCAGCCATYTTCATTTCAGATTCCCCAGGCTTCAACTTGCTTTAACATGTTAAACCTGACCGATTACGACAGTGAAAAACAACTGCGCGAAAAGCTTCTCATTGCTATCAGACATGGCTCTGAGGGATTCTCTTTCTATTAGTCATCCATACTGTATGATGTATAGGTAATACTACGACTCTRAGGGATTCTCTTTCTATTAGTCATCCATACTGTATGATGTATAGGTAATACTACGACTCTGAGGGATTCTCTTTCTATTAGTCGWCCATACTGTATGATGTATAGGTAATACTACGACTCTGAGGGATTCTCTTTCTATTAGTCRTCCAYACTGTATGATGTATATGTAATACTACGACTCTGAGGGATTCTCTTTCTATTAGTCGTCCACACTGTATAATGTATAGGTAATACCATGACTCTGAGGGATTCTCTTTCTATTAGTCGTCCA